TTGTCTTAAAAGTCTTAAAGGTCTTAAAGGTGGGGGTATAATACTTTTAAGACTTAAAAGTCTTTTCTTTATTTTATATATTTTAATAGTTTATATTATTATAAGACTTAAAAGTCTTAAATGAAATATAGTGTAAAAGAAAGTATATAAGCAGTACATTTCTGCTGTTTAATAAAGAAATCGTTTCATATGATTAAACAAGCGTCTCTTAGCTTGTTTTTGGCCCATTTAAATACATATTTTGTAAACACTACCTCCACCTCGATCTTTCCTAAACTAAATTCTTGTCTAATTGTTAAAATCCAATAAACTATAACCGCCACGCTGCCCAAAGATTACCTTTCTGAATTAGCCCAAATTTAAGCTAGATCGCTCCAATTGTTTGCCCAATACAGACAACCTTTATTGTTATCTAAGTTTAGTGCCATTTCTAACCTTAGTTTAGGTTGATTGTATTGAGTACCGTACCCGGAAGTATTGTGGATATATTTTTCTTGCGAGTTGGTTCCAGTGATTAGAGCACCGTTAAAACCGAAAGTTTGTCACGTGATTAGTTGTCTAAGGATTGCCGAAGCCTTAGAACTAGTCCACTTCGCCAAATCTAAACGTCTCTTTCGATAAGGTGATTCAGTGTTTTGTTTGTTTAATTTTGTTGTTTGATTTAACTCCGAGTAACAATTGGTGGTGACTGTGAGATACAGACCTCATAGCTTTTAGAGTCACCTTTCGTTTTAGTGGTAGTTTTAGTCTTAGTTTTAGTTTTAGCATTAGCCAAATTACCTGTACTTTTAGAAAAGTATCGTTTAGTTTAGGATGAAAGACCTTTTAATTCAAAACGAAGATCTCCGGGTTGAGGAAAATGAAGTTAATAGAGAAATTCGCTCGAGAAAACCAAGTACTAGTCAATAGTAGAAACTAGCCAGAGAACATTAAAGAAATCCTGAAACAGATTGCTAGTGCATTTAAAGATGTAACCAAGGGATCTTCACATAGAGAAACCAATTGGGTTCAGGTCAAACTCTTCAAAAGTGAAGAGGATGAAGACCCAATCGAGTGGATTGAGGTCTTTGAGCGAGCCCAGATGCAAATAATTTGGGAGAAAAGTGTAAAGTTAAGATTGCCTCGGGCTATCTATCCAAAATAGCAGCTAATTGGTATAAGGGGAAGAAAAATGAGCTGCAGTATTGGGATAATGCCGAAAACTTGGACGCCAGCTTCAAGAAACAATTTGTGGATTACTTCGCCACACTGGAACGATGCCATAAGTTGCAAGTAGACTTGGACAACTTAGAGCAAGGAGACAATGAGTGTGTAGATTCCTACGCTTATAAATTTAAGCATTTGTTGTCTAAAGTTGATGCTGATAAAGGCATTCTGGCTTCTTACGTCGTGAGGATGTTTCTAAAAGGGCTTCGAGAAAACATTGCAGCACTTTTGTCTTTGGCGGAACCGAATAATCTTGACAATGCTATTGTAATAGCCCGGAGGATTGAAGCAGATAGCCATTATGAAGATAAGAAAGGTGCTAAGTTGGTCTTAAGGGTGGAAAAAGAATTGGAAGATTTAACCATACAAATTCTTTCCTGTCCCGGCAATGTTAACTATTGTAGGATAGAGGATAAGAATTACGTTGAAAGTGAGGTTTTGGCCAATAATCAAGCCCGGTATCAACCTTATGCCACTCAGAAAGGACTAAGGCCGGTAAAGAGGTCCGAGTCAAAGTGGGAGGATAGGTTGAGGCGATGTGAACCAGAAGAGCAGCCCCAAGAACCATTTCCAATGAATAAAGAGCCGTATATCCCAGAGGAGCCAACTGTGACTCGCTCTAAGTATAGAAGGGGACTATCTCGGGTGGATAACCTTGAACCATATAATGTTGTTCAAGACTTGTTAAACACTAAGTCTAGTGTCACTATAGGGCAAATGTTAAAATACTCTAACCAATGCCGTAATCTTGCCCAAGCCCTTCGTCGTTCTAGGTTACCTGTGGAGACTAATTATGCCCAACCTAAAGAAAATTTAAGAACCACAGCCGCCCGGTGTTATGTAAAAATTAGAGAAAATCCAGTAGTAGAAATCATGGACACCGGTGCAGCTGTTAGTTTGATTACCAAACCTTTGGCAGATAAATTGGGACTTAAGATTGGAGTACCTTCCAATACTGTAGTAATCACAGCCACAGGGCCCGTGAACGAACCTTGGGGAAGATTGAAAACTTAAAAATGGTTGTAGGTGGCCTTTTGGTTCCAATAACCCTCCAAGTAATTGATTCCCAGAATGAAATGTTGTTGCTAGGTACCGATTGGTTCCAGAAATCAAAGGCCCGTATGCACTTTGATGAAGAAAAGTTATACCTGACTTATCAGGGCCAAACAACCCGCTTGGCTATATCACATGTTGGAAAACATCAGCTTTCGAAGCCTGATGATGAAAGTGACGATAAGAACCTCTTTGATGAATTAAAATTTGAGGATGAACTGCTAAAAAAAGCTGAGGGCTATTATACTAGTGAGGCCTCGTCGGAAGAAGAGTTACATGTAAACCCTTGGGATGGGGCACAAAGTTGTGTGGCTATAGAAGAGGTTCTGGTGGGGCATTATGACGAAGAAAATGAAGAAAAAAAGGAATTGGGTGAAATATGGAAAAAGGCACTAGATGAATTAGTAGCCCAGGAAGAAATAGGTAACAAAGGCCGAGAACAAGCTGAATGGTTATTTGCTAAGTATGAAGATATATTTGCTAGAGAATTAGAAGATTTAGGGCAGACTAATATTGTTCAGCATTATATCAACACGGATTCCACATCTCCTATCAAGCAGGCGGCCTATTGATTAGCTCCTAGTTAGTAGGAGTTTTTACAAGAAGTGTTCGAAAAATATTGAATACAGGATTAATAAGGGAGTCCTATAGCCATGGTCATCTCCAGTAGTGTTAGTCCCCAAGAAGAATGGAAAATTACGGGTCTGTATTGATTATCGAAAAATCAATACAGTAGCAAAGAAGGATGCCTATCCTATTCCAAGAATAGATGATATGCTGGAGACATTCGGGAATGCCTCTTGGTTCTCCAGTTTAGACTTGGCCAGTAGGTACTAGCAAGTCTCCATAGCCAAACAAGACAGGGAAAAGACGGCCTTTGTCACCAAGTTCGGGGTGTATGAGTTTAATGTTATGCCTTTCGGTCTCTGTAACGCCCCGGCTACGTTTTAGTGGCTGATGAACCATGTGCTAAAGGAATATATTGGGCAATTTGTTGCCGCTACCTAGATGACATTACTGTCTACTCTAGAACTTTCTGGGAACACATGGAACATTTGGAAAGGGTCTTTATCAAGCTTTAGGAGGTATAGTTAAAATTAAATAGTGACAAATGTTACCTTCTTAGAAGGTTGTTAAAGTTTCTAGGCCATGAAATTACTAGGAATGAAATTAGGCCAGATAATGAAAAGGTCATCAAAGTCCGAGAATACCCAGCACCGAAGACTCTGCGTCAATTGAGAGGATTTTTGGGTCTATCATCCTACTATAGGCAGTTTATTAAGGGTTTTGCCTCTCTTGCTCAACCCTTGCATCACCTACTTCGGAAAGACGTGCTATATGATTGGGGCAAGCCTTAACATAAGGCATTTGAAACATTGAAGCGCTATTTGACTACTGCCCCAATTTTACAGTACCCAAATTTTGAGAAGATATTCTACTTACACACGGATGCTTCAGGGATAGGTCTTGGGGCCGTGTTGTCCCAAAAAGATGAAAAAAATAGGGAGCATGTGATTGTATATGCTAGCCGAAGTTTAAGTCGTGCTGAGAAAAACTACTCTACCACTGAGTTGAAGTGCCTGGCGGTAATTTGGAGAATTGAGTATTTCTACCATTATTTAGGCATTAAGCCTTTTGTAGTGATCACGGACCATGCCGCTCTTAAATGGTTGGAGACATTGAAATTGAAAGGAAAAAGAGCAAGATGGATCCTCCGGCTCCAATCTTATATTTTTAAAATCGTACATAGGAGTGGTTGGGTGCACTCTAATATAGATGCACTATCCTGTCTCCCCGAAATAAATGATAATGAGAAAGAAAACCGGCCAGAAGAAGCTAGAGAGGTTTTTAAAGTTGATGTTATATGTATAAAAGATAGTGAAGATGAATGGTACTCAGAAAATGAAGATTATGAAGAGGACTATGAGGATGAAGGGGATTACAAATCTGAGGTAGAAGAGATGGATTATGAAAGGACTGATAGTATAGAGGAACAATAGAATACGTGGGAGGTGGATGAGAGTGAAGTAGTGGATATAAATCGGCGGGAACAAGGGTATGAACAATTATTACATGATTTCGAAGTAGAATCAGATTGTAGGTTGTTATGGGAAGGCCATAATGATATTGCCCAACAGTGGTGGGAATATGAGAATGGAAAAGGAGCTGAAATGTCACTTTCCCAGGACGAAGTATACTTAGTGGACGATTTAAGGACCATCCAGAGTGAAGAAAGCTTCTCTGATATAACCTGGATGGAATGGGAGCCCAAAAAAAATGTTCTTTGGCCCCTTACACCTGAAGAAGTTATAGAAGCCTCGGAGGAAGAAAATGACTCCAAGTATGAGGGTGATCTGATGGTAATTATTCTTCTTCTTCACAATGAGAAACGTCAGATGATGATGAGTCCCAAATAGAAGTTGTAATAAACAGTGGATCGACAAGTCTAATCACCCCGGAGGAAAAAACTTTGACTGAAGAGTGGAAGGTTAATAAGAGTCTTGCAAACCAAGTAAAACAAGAGGATGCAATGATGAATGAATTTATCAAATGGCCAAAAGATGACCAGGAAGAAACCTTTGAGCCACAAGCCATTGATATCGGCACAGAGGGAATTGGTATTGAAAAGGATGAACAGGCAATAAATATGGACGTGCCTATATATATACCTGTCTTTCTTTTTACTAAGTTAACTCCTAGAAGACGCCAAAAATTGGTCTTTGCAGGGAAAACCCAGCGCTTCAAAAATGAGTTCTTTCTCTATGACCATCCTACCCTTAATGACTATATAGCAGCCCAGGAGCTCAATTTAAGGGAGGCCGTATATTGGGTAGATTTTTATAGCTATCCTTTAATTGCCAACGACCCAAATGAATTACTAATCCTGCAAAACCAGATGCAAAATGAAGTACGACAAAGTGAAGCCCGGCAGTTAATGACTTTACAAACCGGCATTGACCCTGGGTGTGACCGAAGACTTGTGGATGATAATAGTGTTCTTATATTACCTGTGGAAATCGAGTTGGATTAGTAAACGTATATAGATATTAATATTCTTTTTCTTTTAACATCTTAATGTTATATAACCTCCTAGACATTCATGTTCTCAAAATCATATGACTTAAAAAAAAAAAAAACATACTTAGGAGTTTTGTTAGACCCCATAATTAGTATAGATACTTCAGTAATATTGTTAAGATTTTATTTTTGTCAAATTCAAAGAACAGACCTAACATTAGTAAGGTTGGTTAGGATGGGGTAGGGCTAGTTGGGCCCTATTCACTTGAAAAAAGATCGATAAAAACTTGATCCGCAAAGGATCAGTTGCCGATTGGGGTATTAAATTAGGAAGGGTCCAATAGGGACTAAGTTTGGAAAATTAAAATAGAATGCAAAAAAAAAAAAAAAAGTATATTGGAAGAAAATGATGAAAGTTGAAGTTTAGATTTTTGGTTATAGCCGAATGCTAAAGCATTTCTTTGCTATCAAAAATCTTTTGAGAAGATGTATAATGAATAACCCTAAGAATTGGTTAAATGAAAATAATAGTGGCATCGGGAAAATCGATCAATTGTAAGAGTTAGGGACGACAATAATTAAAGATACGTCTGCACTATTAGATAAATAGTGTCATAGTGTATCTAAGCAAATTGAAGACATTAAAGAACCTGAACAAGTTAAAATACCAAACAAACTATAGGAAGAATCCTCTGTATGGAATTTCCTAACGGCATAAATCTGATGTTAAGCAAAAATTCAGACCAGGTAGTCGGTGTCCTGGCACAAAAAGTACTAAGATGGATCTGGAAAGATTTAATCAATTAAAGCGCTTTCTTCAAGAACAATATATTGATCTGAGATTGTCCAAGAAAGAAAGAAAAAGACTTATAAATAATGGGCAGATGTTCTTCTTGAAAGATGAGATTATTTTCCAAAACAATAGCAGAAACTCAAATAAGCCGTTAAGGGTTATTCAAACCCAAGAAGTGGAACCAGTGTTATATCTGGTTCATGATCACCCACTAGGAGGTCATTTAGGGATCAAAACTATGTTTGAGAAAATAAGGCAACTCTATTACTAGCCTCAATCATATGAACGAATACGGGAGTATGTGAAGTCCTGTGACCAATGTCAACGACAAGGTAAGCCCTGGCTAACTACTCCCTTACACCCTATACCAGTCGTGGCTTCTTTTTATCAGGTTGGTATAGATATTGTAGGACCACTACCTATCACATCTTGAACAAGTAGGTACATAGTGGTGGCAACAGATTATATGACTAAATGGCCGGAAGCTAAAGCCATTAGTTCAGCAAATGCTTAGGAAGTGGCCGATTTCCTGTACAATGAAATAATTTGCCATCACGGGTGCCCCAAGTTGATCCTGTCAGATCGAGGAACTCATTTCCGAAATCAGCTAGTTCAAAAATTACTGGAAAAGTTCTAAACTAAGCATGTCTTGTCAACACTATACCACCCCAGACAAATGGGCTGGTAGAACAGTTTAACTGGACCCTGTGTGAGTCTATTGCCAAAATTGTGAAAAATGTAGTAAACTAGGATCTAATTATCCCATCCATATTGTGGAAAATGTAGTAGACTGGGATTTAATTATCTCATCCATATTGTTTGCTTATCGAACTTCAAAGTATTCTACTACAAAGATAATGCCATTCTACCTAACATATGGTCGAGATACAAGACAGCCCATTCAATCAAATGAAAGTGTTGGGAAAACTATGGCTCAAAGAGTTTGAGGGCTGGTAGATACGTTACCGGTAATCCGCCAAGCTGCCATTTTTTAAGTACAAAAGGCGCAGAATAGGCAAAAACAGCTTCACGATAGAAAAATTCAGAATATTACTGAATTTGGAATAGGAGAAAAAGTATTGGTGTACTGTGCATCCTGACAATATAATCATAGCGTAAAGCTTGAACTAAAATGGTCAGGCCCATACTACATTTATCAGGTTTTTGACTGGAATGTAGTCAAGTTGTGCACAATGGAAGGTCAAGTCATATTAACCTCAATTAGTACTAGTCTAATTAAAAAGTATAGAGATCGTCAAAGGGGTATCGAAGGAGGAAGGATATTAAATTAAGGTGTATATTGCGTGATGGAAAGAAGTAAAGGATGAATGATGTTTTGATAATAAGGGTGTGATTAAAAAAAAAAAAAAAAAAAGAAATACATATATTATAAATAGTAGATCGAAAGAGAGTTTTTTTTTTGTATATATATAGCCAAGGTCAAAACTTCAATCTATTTTATCTTTACAACATCCAAAAAAAAAAAAATTGGATATCCATGCAATCATTAGAGATATAACCTCTCCTGTCCCTTCTGGTGTTCTTGTAACTCCACCTTCATTTGTAGTGCTACCTCCATTTGCGGAGACCCATGATCTCGTAGAAAGCGTGGATGTGACTCATACGGCCTTGCTGCGGGCCATTCGGTTGAAAAATAGAATTGAAACTTTGGTGTTTGTCTATTACCTCGGCATGTTATTTGTAACTGCCACTCCTACTCAGCAAGGAGCCATCCGAAGACAAGTAACTTGACATTATTACCTTGCGGCTAGGCATGTCTACGATGTATTTGCTCCTCTTGACGTTCAGCAAATTTATGGCACCACTATGGTTATTTTTAATACATTTAGGTTGCTATTGAATAAAGATCTCCAACAATTGGTCCTCTAATATTCATGGAACTCACATTTTAAGTCGGGGTATTGTAACCCGAGAAACTCAGACCTCCAGAAATTTTAATTTTAGGCTGGTTAATTACGTATGTGTCACAGAAGCCTATTTTTAGTTAGTAACAATCTTTGATTTATTTGGTGGTAAGACTTTTAGAAGCGATTTGTCTTAAAAGTCTTAAAGGTCTTAAAGATGGGGGTATAATACTTTTAAGACTTAAAAGTCTTTTCTTTATTTTATGTATTTTAATAGTTATAAGACTTAAAAGTCTTAAACGAAACATAGTATAAAAGAAAGTATATAAGCAGTACATTTCTGCTTTTTAATAAAGACATCATTTCATACGATTAAACAAGCGTTCCTTAGCTTGTCTTTGGCTACTTATACAAATTATTCGTAACACTACCTTCACCTCGATCTTTCCTAAACTAAATTCTTGTCTAATTGTTAAAATTCAATAAACTATAACTGCTACGCTGCCCAAAGGTTACCTTTCTGAATTAGCCCAAATTTAGGCTAGATTGCTCCAATTGTCTGCCTGATACAGACAACCCTTATTGTTATCTGAGTTTAGCGCCATTTCCAACCTTAGTTTAGGTTGATTGTATTGAGTACTGTACTTGGAAATATTGTGAATATATTTCCTTGTGAGTTGGTTCCAGTGGTTCGAGTGTTGGTAAACCGAAGTTTGTTACATGTTTCTTGCCTAAGGATTGCCGAAGCCTTAGAACCAGTCCACTTCGCCAAATTTAAATATCTCTTTTGATAAGGTGGTCCAGTGTTTTGTTTGTTTAATTTTGCTGGTTGATTTAACTTCCAGCAAATCGATATTTCTCTGAGTAACAATATCTATAATACTATAAAGTGAAATTTGGCATTAGCTCAAAGCAAAGTTTTCTTTTTACTAAGTTAACCTTTCTTTAAGCTTTAAAAAATGTTGTAGAGCTCATTTTTGCGGTTCTAATGATAGCAAGATTATTAAAATTGGCCTTGTAGTTCTTGAGATAGTGTAACTTTTCTTTCTTTATATATATACAATATTGTAAAGAAGTTTTATATGTGCAAAGAAAGAAAAGTTATAATATCTCAAGAACTACAAGACCAATTTTAATGATCTTGCCACCATTAGAACCGCAAAAATGAGCTATACAATTTTTGTTAGAGCTTGAAGAAAAGATTAATATAGTAAAAAAAAGAATTTGCTTTGGGCTGAAGCCAGATTCTACAATATTATAAAAATATATAATTTTATTAACTAATTATAATTAATTCTTTTATAAATTCTTATTACAGTTCATTCTAATTATAATGAACTCTGTTATAGAAAATATCTTGCTATAACAGAGTAAGTAATTCTCTAGAACAATTTAAAATTTTTATTATTATACTAAATAATTGTTATAGTAGATATTTATTATAATAGACAGAACTTCTTAGCCCAATCACTACATTATAACAAGGATGAACTGTACTCTAAAATATTAACATCCCACAATTCATAACTCGACTTATACTCAATATACTCATAACCTAATTTTATAAGACTGTAATTGTTTCTTATACTAATGCCCAATATGCATAGTCTTATATATTTTATGTCTCATACCTCTTTATCTATGCCCTGTTTTTAGAAAAAACCTATTTGTAAAATAAAAAATACAATACTAAAAATGCAAGATATATATTTAGCTATTATTATGCCATTATTATTCCACCTCAAGACAAAATGAATGGTTCTATACTTATCATCATAAGGGTTTCCTATTCTAATTTTCACCTAATCTTTTAATTCTGTTTATGGTTAATCCAAACTCGGCTCCAACTTATTTACTATTAAAGTTGCCCAAAGTACAAATAAATTATTAAAAGAAATAAAGACAAAATACAGTACAAATGCAACTAATAAAACGAATTAGTGCTGACCCTTAATTACCTGATAGCGCCATAGTTCATCTTAAAAGCTAGTTCAGTTTACCCAACCATTGTCTTTCATAGTATCACCCAGAATAACCAAATTTCTTATCAATTCCACATGACCTTTACGTTCAACTCTTGCCCATTCGCATCTTAATTAGCTTATTTTTCATAATCTTATCTTGGATAAGAATCAAAAAAAAAGTTTAATACTTATCTGGTAAATCCCAATTCAGGTAATTGACGAATTAGGTGATTCTATCACAGCATTACAATTTCAGATAATATGTAAATGCTTTATGCTTATCAATTTTGACACTAATTTCTAAATAATAACAATAAGCAACTTGATATATTCCAATTATTGATAATATGAGAATGCTTTGTTTCATCCTTTTTAACTCCAATTCCATATTCATAACAACATCCACTGTTGCAATCATATGACTAACATGAGGTCAAATCAGCTTAGGGTTACAAGCATAGGTTATACGAAATGAATGTTCATAAAGGATTCAGAATTAATGATAATAGGTTATTAAGGAATATATTTATTTATTTAGTCTGAGCAAAGAGAATTCTTTATTAACACAGCGTCGTATTTATACTTTTTAAATTCTAGTGGTTTGAGCCCAAAATCTTGGGTCTCAAACCAATATTGGTGATCTTGAACCAAGATCTACGGTCTCAGACCAATATCGGTGGTTCTGGACCAAGATCTACAGTCTCAAACCCATGCAATAAAAAAATATTACAAATAAAATTCAAACACAAAATTTTCGTAACATCGCCTAGTCATAAATTCTATCTACTCAACTCATCTACTATTAAAGTTTCCCAAAGCACAAATAAATTAGATATAAAGACAGAATACAGTAAAAATACAACTAATCCTGTAATCAAACAAATTAGTGCTGACCCTTAATTACCTGATAGCGCCATAGTTCACCTTAAAAGCTAGTCCTGTTCACCCGGTCATTTTTTTTTATAGTATCGCCCATAATAACAAGTTTCTTATCAATTCCACATAACCTTTACATTCAACTCTTACCCATTCGCAATTTAGCTTATTCTTCATAATCTTGTCTTGGATAAGAATCAACAAAAAAAAAAAAAAAAGAGTTTGATACTTATATAGTAAATCCCAATTCGGATAATTGACAAATTAGGCGATTCCATTGCAGCATTACCAGCCTCAGCAGATTTCTGATAATATATAAATGCTTTTTATGCTTATCAATTTTGACACCAATTTCTAAATAATAACAATGGGCAACTTGATACATTCCGTTAGAATTATTCATTTTGCCAATCATTGATAATGTGAAAATGCTTTGCTTTCATCCTTTTCAACTCCAATTCCATATTCGTAACAATACTCGCCTAGTCATTTTCATCTACTTAACTCATCTACCATTAAAGTTGCTCAAAGCACAAATAAATTAGAAATGAAGAAAGAATACAGTGCAAATACAACTAATCAAACAAATTAGTGCTGACCCTTAATTACCTGATAGTGCTATAGTTCACTTTAAAAGCTAGTCCTGTTTACCTGGTCATTTTTTTTCATAGTATCGTCCAGAATAACAAGTTTCTTATTAATTCCATATGACCTTTACGCCAACTCTTACCCGTTCACAACTTAGCTTATTCTTCATAATCTTCATAATCTTGTCTTGGATAAGAACCAACAAAAAAAAAAAAAAGAGTTTGGTAAATCCCAATTTGGATAATTGACGAATTAGGTGATTCCATCGCAGCATTACCAGCCTTAGCAGATTTCTGATAATATGTAAATGCTTTTTATGCTTATTGATTTCGACACCAATTCCTAAATAATAACAATGGGCAACTTGATACATTCCGTTAGAATTATTCATTTTGCCAATCATTGATAATGTGAAATGCTTTGTTTTCATCCTTTTCAACTCCAATTCCATATTCGTTACAATACCCACCTAGTTATTTCCATCTACTCAACTCATCTACCATTAAAGTTGCTTAAAGCACAAATAAATTAGAAATAAAGACAGAATACAGTACAAATACAACTAATCAAACAAATTAGTGCTGATCTTAATTACCTAATAGCGCCATAGTTCACCTTAAAAGCTAGTTCTATTCACCTGGCTATTTTCTTTTATAGTATCGCCCAAAATAACTAGTTTCTTATCAATTCTACATAACCTTTACGTCAACTCTTACCCGTTCGCAACTTAGCTTATTCTTCATAATCTTGTCTTGAATAAGAATCAACAAAAAAAAAAAAAAAAGAGTTTGATACTTATCTGGTAAATCCCAATTCGGATAATTGATAAATTAGGCGATTCCATCGCAGCATTACCAGCCTTAGCAGATTTCTGATAATATGTAAATACTTTTTATGCTTATTAATTTTGACACCAATTCCTAAATAATAACAATAGGCAACTTGATACATTTCGTTAGAATTATTCATTTTTGCCAATCATTGATAATGTGAAAATGCTTTGTTTTTATCCTTTTTAACTCTAATTCCATATTCGTAACAATACCCGCCTAGTCATTAAATTCTATTTACTCAACTCATCTATCATTAAAATTGTTCAAAACACAAATAAATTAGAAATAAAGACAGAATACAGTACAAATACAACTAATCAAACAAATTAACGCTGACCCTTAATTACCTGATAGTGCTATAGTTCACCCTAGTCCTATTCACCTGGCCATTGTCTTTTATAATATTGCCCGGAATAACAAGTTTCTTATCCATTCCATATAACCTTTGTGTTTAACTCTTACCCGTTCGCAACTTAGTCAGCATATTCTTTATAATCTTCATAATCTTGTCTTGGATGAAATAAAGATAAAAAAAAAAAATTTTGATACTTATCTGGTAAATTCCAGTTCGGAAAATTGATGAATTAGACGATTCCATCACAGTATTATGATTTCAGATAATATGTAAATGCTTTATGCTTATTGATTTCAACACCAATTCCTAAATAATAACAATAGACAACTTGATACATTCCGTTAGAATTAATCATTTTTGCCAATTATTAATGTGAGAATGCTTTGTTTTCATCTTTTTACTCCAATTCCATATTCGTAACAATATCCAAGC